AAAGTTTTTTTATAGGGGAAGGACTGTCATTTTGTGCTACACCTATATATCCTGCATGTAGGCACTGAGCAAATAATATATAATAACAAGTGGCACTGACACAAGCTATTATGGCAAAATGTAGCCAGTGGGAGGCTAAGCTTAGCAGCTAGATTGTCAGCACTACACAATACCAAATATAAATGAGGTGTTTCAGCTATGGTTCTGATTCAGCTTCTCACAGGAGCTGGCTCTTGGGGAGAAAAAAGTGTAACTGTGTAATTTAATTTAAAAAAAATCCCAGCTGTTTCAAAAGTGGAAGCTCAGCTCATCCTGTGGAGAAATCTAGCATTCACTTCAGTCCAATTAAGAACAATCGAGAGATTGCTGAAAAGAGTCTTCCAGGGCTACACGGAAAGAATCCTATTTTCAAAAGTCTTCAGCATTGGCTAACTGCTATAAATTTGACTGAAAGCTGTCAAATACTTGACAACTTTGAAAATCCAGTTACTTCCTATACAAAATGTGAATGCTGGAATCTAACAGTCTTTTGAAATGCATGGCCAAGGAATCTGAGCGCGTCTGTATAAAAAATATATAATTATTCATGGATTTTGAGTTACCCAAAGCTAAATGGAAATCAGAAATTGCTGAGGCATAAGTATCTATGTAATGTAAATACATTCACCATTTCATCCTGATAAATACTGGATTATAGACTTCTGAACACAGACTGACAATTATTGGAAATCCTGTGGTCATCTTAAGTATGTCATCTCAAGTATACAATATTTCAGTTAAAGCAAAACCATAAAATCCTTTTTCTTTTTTCAACGTACCATCTAGCATATAATTTATTTGGATGAACTCTACAAATATGTGCATTATATCACGCTAGAAGAACTTGAGAACCACTTTTTTCTTGTTCCCAGGGTCATTCAGCTATTGGTAATGTACTACAGACATAATGATAGAATCAGTTTACAGTTGTGAGTTCTGCCAAATATCTCGCAATTATATTTTGCAAGCAACACTGCCTCTGTTTCACAGAGATAGCAGTGTGGTGTTTTGTTTATGTGGTACCAAAGACAAATATTGTTTTAGGGTTGTGACAGAATTTCAAAAAGTTTTTGTGGTATTCTAAACTTCAGATACACTTAACAGTTACCACTCCATTAAATACAGAGTGGCATGGGCTTTGAAAGTGTCCCTCAAAAACCAGAAAAGAATCATAGAATCATGAAGGTTGGAAAAGACTAGCTCTAAGATCATCTAGTCCAACCACGCACCTACCATGAATACTGCCCAGTAAGCCATGTCCCTAAGTGCTACATCTTCTCTTTCCTTAAGCACCTCCAGGGATGATGAGTCCACCACTTCCCTGCGCAGTCTCTTCTGATGCCAAAGGAAAGGCTCTGTTCAATTAAACCAAGTGTGCCCACTTTACGTCTTCAGCATTTATCCAGACAGACATAGCAGCTGATATCTATATGCACACCATACGTTTTAATGGTGTCAGACGTACAGATGAGCTGCTGTAATGTCTCCTCACCTGGATTCAGGATTATAGGACTGCTTTTAGGATGCAATCTGAAACTCATGGCACGTAAATTGAAACACACTCTATCAAACTTCAGTCACCTAGTAGTCTGAGGAAAAAAAACACAGAATCATGGGCTACTCAAGTTGGGAGGAGCTCATAAGGATCATCACATCCAACTCCTAGCTCCACACAGGACCAAAGCAAACCAATAAACACTTGACAACGTCTTGACACTGACCACTGAGGTGGATTGGAGAAGCTTCCTGCAAGAGAAGAGCACCAGCAGCAGTCCTGCTCCTTCTGGAGCCTGCATTTGTGTGACCAGTTACTTTGGCAGGACTTTTGGGGTAGAGGAACAGGGATACAATAGGAAGGCTAGCAGTAACCATCTCAGGTGTTCAGGAGAAGCATATTTTGTGGGAAAGGACAAGGACTGTGGGTGCCTTGATTTGAGCTTGGGATGAGAGCCAGCGGTGTTGTTGAACAGAGCAGAGCTGTGGCAGCAGACATCACAGAAGTCATGTTCACTGTCCTAAGGCCAGGCAGAGCGTGGATTAGAAGAGAGGAGCTTGCAGGTTTATTCACTGTGAAAAACGCCTGTTCCTGCTCTTCATGCTTCGATGTTTTCCATCAGATTAAAAATACTGTTTATAGAAGAGGCAGAAAAACCCCTTGAATGTTGACCATGACTGTCACTGATGGTGAAAACCGGAATGGCCAACAGATTGAATTAGAAAGAATGGAAGCAACTGCACATAGGGCTGACCTGCTTCTTCCCCTTCTGTGAAACCTCAGCTAGGTTTCAGTAAGGGAAAAGCAGCTGGAAATGAAGGAATGACAGGGTTCATACAATCTTGAGATTGTGGAAGAGGTTAATTGGGAAGAACAGAAAGAGGGAGAGGGTGCAAACTCCTCTGATTTTCCTGAAAAGCTGGAAGGAGTTGACACTCAGCCTTGGTTGACCTTGGACCAGGATGAGACCAAAAGGGATGGTAATGAATGCAAGTAAAACAAGCAAGTTATAGAGGAGGTGGCACCTTCATTTGTTATGGTGGCTCTTCTGAGAGCTCTTACATCTGCCTTGTTTCTGCAGTCGTGCTAATGCAAACACCATGCCATCTTTCAGGGACATATTGAAATTTGTTAGAAAATCAGGATCCCAAGGGCAGATCCGGGCTGCGTTTGAGTATGAGACTGCAGCTGCTAAGTAAAGCTAAACTGACCTTCGTGCTGCCATCTAGTGTTCCCTTGTAGACAGAAACAACGTTCCCCGAAGAAATACATCAAAGCTCCATTAATGCTCCTCTGTTCAGAAGAAATGTAATTTATTCTTGCTGGAGAACACAGAAGCTGAGTAGGAGGGAGCAGGGAAGAGGCATATGAAGGACACAGTGTTAAGGCAGAATGTTAGGGAGACACCATTTTTAAAATTTGTTTCACCCAGGAATAGAGACATGTCCAAGGCAAGATTCAGAAACAGATTTTGTCCCCATTCATTTTTCACTCTGAAATTCATATGGCTGCTTGCAAGATGCAGTAGTACACAGCAGAGCAAGAATCCAAGCAGCAAGCGAACAGCATGAGAAGCTTGGCAGTTTCTTCTTGACTGTCCTTGCTACTGCCATAAAAGACAAATGGTGTGTTTACTTCACAGGCATCAGATGCTGATTTTCCTTCCAGGTACACATAAGGGCTAACAAAAAGCAACACATGCTATTCTGGGAAAAGCAAAGGATCTGCCTTGAACAGCCACAGTAGGATGCTTTTCCAACACCTGCGCATCCTAGCTTCATGCTGGAACTGTAAAACCCTGGATAACCCTATTAATAACTCATGGGATGATTTACACAATTACAGCAGGGACAGTGTTTTTTTTTCTCCACACTTTTCTTGAAGGTGCTTTGAATCAAAGTCCAAAATACACATGAAGTATCCAACTGCAAAACTGCTCTGTTTTGGAGCTTTAATTTCTGACAACAATAGGAAAGCTGCCAGGAAGAGCTCTGCTCTTCTGCACAGCTGGAAAATGGCAAAATCAGCTAAATTAAGAAAATAGACTGCCCACTGGGAAAGAAAAACCATAATGACCAGCTTTGAAAGAACTCTTGCTAGCATTATAAGAAATCAGATAGGAATTTTGTCATTTACAGAACAGTCTTCTCATTTACAATGAAATTTTATAGCAAAAGAACACATGCAGTTGAAAATAAGTAAAAAACCTGTTTTCTCAGTTCAGTTATAGATTGTTTAGATGAAGTGGACTATCACTGTGACAAGGAACAGAAACAAACTCTTCAGCAGAAAGGACAGAGTCCTTCTCTGCTTGCAACTCATCTCTCAAGTAAAGACAAGAAAAAAGCTGTCCCAGGCCCTTAGGCCTTCCAAAGGCCTACTCCATAGTATAAAAGTCCTCTACTAATGGTAGCATCCACATCTCATTCACAGTATTCCCATTTTTTTTTTTTTTTTTCCACCAAGAGCACGATTCAATCCCAATCTCATCAAACAGGGCCTACTGCAGAATTAAGGCATCATTATACTCTCCCTCCAGCGGTCGGTACCTGTTACAGGCTGTGACATCATATTGGTACCAGAAGCTTTCTCCTCAACTCACTGAACAAAGCAGCAGCCTTTTTTATTCTTTTTCTTTTTTTTTTCCTGATGAATACATCTTGAACTCAGGCCTGACGGAGTTGTTTACTCTGAATGTAAGGCTTTTATTTTCCAACGCACAATTTGCTGTGAAAGGAAGTCATGTTCTCTTCCCATTCCCTGTTCTTTCTCCTTCCCTCCATTCATTATGTTCAGAGAACACAAAAGTGAGTGCAAAAGGGACGAAATGAATATACATAAAAGATACACTCAGCCCTCTTCCAAAGAGCTCACACTTCCTGTGGATTAAAAAAGAGCGAGAGGACTCCTGAACCCTCATCTCCAAAGAACTTTGCTGAGAACACTGTAGGGGCAAATGTTTCAAAACCAAAACCATGCATGTTTAAGCCGTATCTCTATCATCTGCTTGCCTACAAACTAGGAACATGTTTTTTTAGTGGGATACAGGGACCACAGAGCAATGGCTGCACGGCTCCGAAAGCAGCCCATGGAATATCCCATCCAGCAGGGATATGGTGGTTGGGAAGATGGCATCAGGGCTCACCAAAACCTGAAGAGAACTGTACTCATTTTTGAACGCCCACTGCTTTTGCTCCATGGGGAAGTGGGTGAAGACTTTGTGCACAACACATGGGCTAAAGCCACTGGAATCAGCACAGAGCTGTTTAAGTAGGACTGTATTTATTCTTTTTTAAACTCTTTCTGTACAAAAATGTTTTGTGTTTGAAAGGGGAGTTTTTATAATGAATATTGCGAAAGAAAAATTCTGCTTCTTGAGAAATTTCCCCCGCTCTCAAAACTTAATTTCTTTCCCTCCTCCTCTTGCAGTAATAGATTAAACATGCCAATGGGAAAGGTGCACAGATTCAGCATTGGGTAGGTAATTTTTAATCAAAAGGTAAAATACAAAGTCACTTATTTTTATCTTCTCAGTTGAGGGGACAGGGATTTTGCCCTTCAGGCAAGGTAAATAAATAAGAACATCAACTTCAGTCCACCGTTTGTCTCATGATTTGCTATAACATTTCCCTAGTACCAGGCATGGCTGCCTCCCGAATCAACAGAGTTAAAACTTTCTTGTAGGTGTCTAAGATCTCCTGGGCAGAAGGCCTTTCTGCTGGGTCCTTCTTCTTACATGCCGCATGGATGTCAAACAAGTGCAGTCGCACAATGTCACTGCCTTCAACGTGGCCCAAGAAAAAATTGGAGACATCCGGGATTTTCCAGATGTCTGTTTTTTCATCGTATGGGGGCATAAGGTCATCATCAAATGGCACATCCTCTCCATAGGGCCAACGCTGCTCAGGAGCTACAAAATCTCCCCAGAGCTCCCGATGACCACACTTCACCAGCCTGCCGGCGCTCCTGTTCACGAGAGGCAAAGCGTCCAAATCATTCACCAGGATGTGAAAGTCACTCGTTAAAAGATACTGCGAGAGCACCTTGTCCAGGTCGTTCGAATCGCACATCACTAAGGTGCCCAGAGGGCTGCTGTGCAGGTAGCGAATTATGCTCACATAGTCTATAGCGAGCATCAGCCTTCGATGCCAAGTGTTCATGCTCTTGTACTTGGGGATGTGCAGAGTTTCGTTCAAACCCCTCAGGGAGCCCAGAGGGTGGTACTCGGTGAGGATTGTGAACTGCTTCTCACAGTAGCCCAGCAGTCGGACAACGTGCTTGCTCTGTAGTGCCTTCAGCATCTTCAGTCCGTGGAGAAAGTCCTCCTTCAGCTCCGGTTTGGTGAGCTGTGAAATGACCACTTTGTTTTCCTTCCACTCAGAAAGAAAGACCTGAGGACAGAGAAGAGATGTATAAGACATGTGGAAAGCCTTCCTTTGTTGACTGTTACCATGTGGCATCCGAGTGAATGCTCAGTCACAGCCGCAAACAACAGTCACCCAGTGCGGTCAGTCCTATGCTGGTGCATGATCGCACAGTGTTGTGTCAGCAGCAAAGCCTCTGGGCTTTGCCGTACCTACTGCACATACGTGTCGCAGCAAGCCCTTCCTGATTTTGTACAGCATAGGATGGCTCACGATTTCCTAAGCTTTCATTGGACTGGATGAAGTAAGGGATGGAATGACTTCATAGCACCCAGCCAGACTTGCTGTGCGCGGTTGCACCATGCGAAGCGCTCCACCCGTCTCTGCGGTGCTGCGTGCACAGCCTAGTGTTGTTTGGTGTGAGGTACTAGCCGCAGTCACGTTTCTCCTGCCTGTTCTTACCTTACTCGTAGCCAAAGGCTTTCAGCTGCTTTAAGGGCAGCTAACAAAGCAGCGTGGGCAGCTAACAAAGAAAGCCCTCGCTAGCTGATTCACTGGAGAGAAGTAAAGATAACCCAACTCACCTTTTTCACGGCTCCTTCGCCAACACATTTGAGTTTTCTGACTTCCCTATCGATGGCTTCACAGGAGAGCCAGGGGGAGCAGTTTTTCACCGGCCCGAGTCTGAAAGACCCGTAAGGGCAGAGGCTGGGCTCGGCGTCGGCACGGCCCGAAGAGCCGTGCGGGTTGCCGAGGTACAGGTAGAGCAGGGCATTCAGGAGCAGCGCCGCCACCAGCAGCAGCACCGGCAGCAGCGAAGGCGCCTCCCTGGGAGGAAAGTCTCTTTGCACGAAATGCGCTTTCTTGTCCATCTCCCCTGTGAAAGACAGGGGGGTGCCAGCTCCCTCCGCAGCGCAGGGCTCTAAGGGGCCGTTTCATGGCAGCCCGCACGACCGCCTCCCCGTGCCGCCCAGCCGCGCGGTACGTAGCGGCGGCAGGCCACGCTCCGAGCGCGGCCCGGCCAGACGCCCCCGGCCGCTCCGACTGGGCCGCGGCGCCGAGCCCGCTTTCGGAGCGGCGCCGCCCCGGGGCGGAGCGCGGCGGAACGATGGCGGTCGCGCTGGCGGCGGCCGTGGCGGCGGCGTTGGGCGCGCTGCTGCTAGCGCCAGGCCGGACGCAGTCGCGCGGAGAGGCCCCCGTTGCCGGGCCGCCGCCGCCGCTCAAGATGGACCAGGCCCTCCTGCTGGTCCGCAACGAGCTGCCCGCGCAGGGCCTCCGCTTGGCCGTCCGCTCCGCAGCCTGCCACCGGGTGAGCGCGCCGAGCCGCGCAGCGACTAGCGCGCGGCGACTAGCCCGCGGCCTGCGGCCCGGTTCGCCTCACTCTCCGCTTCCTCCGCAGTGCTCCTACCAGCTTCTGGCCGTCGTCCCGCCGAGCGACGGGGGCCCGGGCGCGGCGGCCGTGGTGGACACCCAGCATCCGCTCAGCCTGCTGCTCAACGGCTCCCGGGCCGGCAGCGAGCTCTGCAAGTAGGTGCCACCGCCCTGGCTCTCCCTCTGTGCTGCTGGGTTTTTGTTTCCCCCGTGCTGCGACCGAGATTTATCGCAGCCCTTCACCTCTTTCCTGGCCATTGAGACGCTGGGTGGGTCGGGGTGTGGGGCTGGCTCCTGCTGGGGCCAGCAGCATGGAGGCAGTGGTGCGAGGAGATGGGTGATGTGAGCTCAGGAAGGGTGATGCTCGCTCTTCAGCTTTCTGAGTGATGCCCTGTTATCTACATGGAGCAGCAAGTTCTGTCTCTCTTCTCCTTTGCAGAATTCAGTATCACTTTGGAGAGTTTGGCAATTACTCCCTAATAGTAAAGACCCTAAGCACAAGTGCCAAAACCATTTATTGTGACATAGTCATCAATGAAGGCCCCATCAACAGCTACCTCCGTATGTAGTGCTCAGCTTTCCTCTTTCATTTCGCAACATGCATGTTTCTCAATAAAGCCAGCTACCTAAAATGCCTCTGTAGCTACCTGTGTTGTGTTGAAATGTGCAATGGACCTGCACGTCTTCTCTCTCAGTGTTTTGCCTGCTTATGTTTTACATCTCTGCCTGAAGGCCCTGGCTAGGATAAGGTCTCTTCACGTTTTTGGAGCAGAAATTAGCCTCACAAAAATCAGCGGGCATTTTATCCACAGGGAAATTTTATCATCGTTAGTTCCTCTTTCCCTCCATGTTTCTGAAAATACACAGGACCCTTGTTCTTCCCTCTGTCCTGCTTCTCTCACAAAACAGGAAACAAACCATAGTGTTTGGATTTCTGTTTTGTTGTGCTTTTAATTTTAAACCTGCTGTCTTACTTTTTTGTTCATCTCCCTTCCTGGGCCTTCTTTAAGCTCTCATCTCTTCCATTCCTCTCCTTTATATTAAGTTTTTCTTCAGTACTTCCAGTTCTCCAGCTATAAAGAAAAGTTCTTCACACTTTCAAATGTTAATGTGATCTCCCTGTCCTCTTCTCATTAAGGCTACCTCTGAATCTCTAGTTTTTTCATCAGAACATATGGTACATCAACTCTTTCTTCACTATTGCCTCAGTGCACATTTATTTTGCCCTTTTTATGCCAAGATGTGCAGTTGCTGATTGCTAGCTTGCTTTGGTTTTGTTTTTTTTCTCTTTTGGGACTCGGGCTGGGGATACAAATTCTGGAGAATTTGAATGGGAGAGAGTGGTGTGATGGATGGTGGGTTGAGTTTGTTGTTGTGTTTGTATCACAGTAGACCAAAGCCCTGCCAATGAACGGTTTTGTTGTGTAAGATACAGAGTTGTTTTCTTCTCTTTTCCATGTAGCTATCCTCTTTGCTTTCCTGGTTTATTCGGGGATCCTTGCTATCCTGATCATCTGTCGCCTTGTTATGAAGTAAGTGAACAGTGTGGTAACATCTCCTCATACACGAGGTAGGATCACCCATTTAAAAGTAGTGTGGTAGTGTTTTGGAGGTAAGACCCTTGTGCTTGCAGGTAAGACCCTGCTGCCAGGCTGCCATGTGCAGGTCAAGCTGTGCTAGCTGTCCGTGCATTGACAAATGCAGAGCGATGCGATTTCTCCTGAGGGTTATCTTATAGCTTGCTAGCTCGTGTGCAGAGCAGTTTCTGGAGAGCAGCTGACATCAGCCGTAAGCTGATGCACACTCTGCTTTGCCCTCCTGTGACTTGTTCCTGGGAACAAGTCAGCAGTACAAGTCAGTGGGACCTAAGCATCTTTAACATCTGTGGTCTTACCTCATGTGTACTGAGCCTTATCAGTGGACAGCCTAAGAGTAGAGGTCCCAAACTTGAGCTTGTGGCAATGTCATTAGATAAATGGATGTAACTCGGGTCACAGGTACTGGTTGTATATCAGTATTACACACATCAACTGGAGAAACGTGGATAGGGGCCATCCCAGCTTTTGATTCATACTACTGAATAGTTGACGTTAAGATGGAATTGGCTATGAAGCAGCCAATTTTTGTTTGTTTTGTCTTTTAAACTGTTACTAATTTTCAGAATTGGTCCAGTCAGAAACTGGGTTTACAAGAAACTGAACCCTAGGGAAACTGATCGTCTGATTAATTCTGTGAGTGACCGAAGTACCTTTCATTTGCATTTGGTGGTGGTGGTTTAACCTCAGAAGAACGCATGCTGTCAGGGCATCTGGGGGATTATTTATTATTTGCCATCTTCTTGTGCCTGTTGCCTTTGCCAAATCTTGTATTGGTGTCAGACAGGAAGTTTTATGTTGATGGAGAGTGCTGGTTTTCATGTGGGAGTTATGGATTCCTCGCAGAGCTCTTGCAAGCTGGGAATATCTAACTTTCTGCCTCCTTAGTTCCCTTGAAGGACATGTATCTGTGAAAACTGTCCCCATCTGACACAAGTAGTATAAGGGTGGGGTTGAAGTGCCAGCTTGTGCGTTTGCTAGCAGCACAATAGGAATTCTCATGGGAGCTGAGCTTAAATCAAGATTCCTTTGACAGCCCTAGAGTTGGCATTTTTGTGGGCCGTGTTTTATACTAAAATATAGATGGAATGTCACAGTCTGGGCTTCATACTAGGAGGTCTGAACCTGCATGGAGTCAGGAGAACTGGGAGCATAGCTCTGGGGCAATTCTTGAAGTTGCTTATCTGCAGTTATCCATGTTAAAGCAATGTTGTTACTAGAGCTGACCAGAGTGGTTTAGGGAACCCGTCTGGAAAGAAGCCAGTCCTGCTTTTAAAAATATTCATTTTCTGCTGGTTTATTTCCCTGAATGGTCTCTCTGTGTGTCAGACAAATGCTGATGGGATGGGACTGATCCTGTTGATGAGACTCAGCAGCTGGATCTGCTCAGCTCAGTTGTAGAGCTGCCCTCACAGGGATGGCAAGTCTGTGGCTGATTTGGACTGAACCCAGCTCCCACAAATCTCAAACATAAGATTTTCTCATTGGTTATTGTTTCCACCCTGATCAAAGGTGGAGTACAGAGCATCTGCAGTTTCCTGTCAAATACTACTGCCGCACTACAGAGCCACTAGGGGGTTAGAAATAGCAAGTGGGGAGGCAAAAAGAAAAGGAAGATGGGGAGAACCAGGACAAACACGGTGTGCAAACCCATGCGGTTCCATAGCCAGCCACTGACTTGCTTTTCTTGTGTCCGATTTGTTCCTTCAGGAGCTGGGGTCCCCAAGCACCACAGACTCCATTGGCAGTGATCCTTCCCCACGTCTGTGGTGTGCAACCTCTCGGCAACGACTGCGTTCTCTCGACACGTTCCGAGGGTGAGCATAAGACCTTGCCCAAAAGCAGCTCTCCCAAGGGGTGGGAGATTTGTCCAAAGACAGATTGACAGTATATGGAAATATGTAGCAGTGGAACTGCAAAAGCATTTCCCTTGAACGATAATCGAAATTTTAATTATTACCGTTGAAGCATTGCTATAGATCTAATTTGAGGAAATGTTAAGGTTGTGGTTCATGGTGGAAAAGAGCAACCTACATTCAGCATGAAAATGCAATGTGATGTAATGTACTAAAGTACTAAAGTAATGAAATTACTTCAGTTCACTACCACGATCTTTGAAATACTGCTTCTTGTTCAGCAGTACTGGAAGCTTCGTATGTAGTCTTTCCTTGAAAATCAACTACATTACATCTCACAGTTGGAAATGTTTTAATGGAATAAATGTTAACTGTGTTTGTACATATGTATTTCATTGACATGTGGTACTTTCTGTGTTTTCGTTGTTTCTTTTTAGCCTCTCTCTTATAATTATGGTGTTTGTTAACTATGGAGGAGGAAAATACTGGTTCTTCAAACATGAGAGTTGGAATGGTAAAGTACAGTTGATACACAGCTAATCTGCATTTTAAGTTCAATATCTAGATTTGGTTACCTGCTGCATTGTTCAGTTGAAGACTGGGATGCTCTGCTGGTTTGCATCAGTACAGTATCTAGCCTGTTAGGCTAATGGGAGAAGCAATGTGTACGCAATGATTTCAAATCACAATCTGTTTGTAAACTTGTTAGTTTTGACATAGTATAATATTTTTAGCTTTTAAGAACCATGGTCATTAAATAGTCCTATAGTCAAGGCTGCGGTGCTTGATGCTGTGCAACCAGCAAGCTGATGGGGGAGGGGTTCTGCAGTGTGTTGCCCCGGTGGAGAATAGCAAGGATTCCTGTCCTGAAATCTTTCCTAACACACAGTTATGAACCTGTTTTTGAGGAATGGTTAAAGCAGTGAAACAAGGTGATTGGATCTTTCTATGTTTTGCTTATAAATTTTTTTAGATTTTGGGGCATAAAATGACTGCAAACAGCCTGCAGTTCCTCTGGAAACTCATCAATAATGTTGTTAAAGTTTAGGAAAGTTTTGAGGAAAGTAATGTTTCTTCTTATTTCTTTTGTAGGATTAACAGTGGCAGACCTGGTTTTTCCATGGTAGGTCTTCCTGAA